GGCCCAGGGCGCGAAGGGTGGAGCTGGGGTGGAGGGAGCCCTGTTGCCCCTTCTGTTTTTGCTGTACAAGCCGGGAACTGCACAGACTCCCCAGGAGTCTCCATTCCCAGGACAGTGTCGCTTCCTTCTCCCAAGGCCACCCTGTAGCCCTGTTTTCCACAGGTGTCTCCAGGGGCCACCTGAATTCGGGCTCATGCAGGGCCCAGCCAGGCTCAGGGAGGAGGGGATAAGGTCTCAGTTCACATTCCCCATGGGCATCAGAACCGTTGTGCCTCACCTGGGTTATCCACAACTGCTCCAGACTCACGGCGAGCACTGAAAACTTGCTGAGGACCCCTGTGTGTGAGGGAATGAAAATAAAGTCCCGCCTTGGAAAAATAAACCCACCCAGCTAGCCCTGTGGAGTGAGAAGACCAGGACTGATCCCTGGATCTTGCTGCCCAGAGGGCAGGCTAGCAGGGACCTGCGGGTGCAGCTGCTGCTGTGTGCATCAGTGTGTGCATGTGTTCACTTGAGCTAACACTTAGCAGTGTGTGTGTGTGGGTGGGGTGGGGGGGGGGCTGCTGCAGTAAACTCCAGTTTTTTGACAGCTCTTGAAAAATCTGGTGACTCCAAACCCTACTGGTGCTACTTACTAGCTGTGTGAGATCAGTTCACTGTGCAGTGGGGTAGTACTAGGACACATCTCATGGCCTTGTGAAGACTAAATGAGACACATGTTTGGAACAGCATCTTGCACTCAGTGACTCCCATCTAAGTACCATAGCTTAGTGATTATTAACTTTTATAGTCACTGCCTGTTTCTGACAAATTACAGTAGTGATATAAAAATTCCTTGGCTTAGCTGAATGCATAGATAAGTGGAACAACTAATCGATGTGTGTGTGTGTCTCTCTATCTCCTTCCATTTTAAAAAATTCCTTCCTATTGCATTTATTTAAGTTTTAAAGGTCTATTTAAGGAAGCATAGCAAGTAAATAATAGTTCTTTTGGCTTAAATATATAGCTCCAAACCACAATGATAGGTCTCAAATAGCAGAGGGGTGGGAAACCCAGCTCTCAGATAAAAACAGAAGCTTTTTATTATGGCTTTCCAGGCGACTTGAACAGAGAGCCTTGGGGAGCATCTAACTCACCTCTGAACTGGCCTGCAGTCAGGGCTGCTGCTGTTCTGGCCCCAGGACCCAGGGATTCCGGATCATCTATACCCCCAGCAGGCCCCGAATCTAATCTACACCTGCATTCCTGACCCTTCCCCCAGAAGGGCATTCTCTGTCAGGAGTCTCAGCCCTTGGAGTCCTTAGGGCGAATCTTGGCCTCCTGGGCTGCCACCTGGTGGCCGAAGTTTAGAACAACATCTCAGCCCGTCCCTGTCCAGAAAAATCCGCGGAAGCACATGGCAGAGGGCCGGTGTTGGGTCTTGGAGTCCGAGGGTGAATATGCCCCCCCGGACGCCCAGGGCCTCAGTAGTTTGCCTGAGAAAGCGCCCTCTGCAGCCTCTGTCCTCTCACAGAGGCCATATTCATTCATTCATTCATTCATTCATTCATTCATTCATTCATTCATGCAGCAGTTGCTGAATGCCCACTCTGTGCTAAGGCTCCAATGGCAAGAATAAGGCAGATACACTCTTTGCCCTCGTGGAGTTTTCAATATAGATGGATGGGAGCATAGAAAACAGGAATAAATATATAAAATTATGACACGTGGTAAATGGTGCTGTGAAGGAAATAAAGCAGAATAAAGGGATGGGAAATGTGTATGTGGCACACACAAGGGTGGTAGAGGCAGGCCTCAGGGAGGAGATGACATTGAGCAGAGATGTGAACCAGGTGCGGAGGACCAGGAAGGTATGGGGGCAAGGAGGAGAAGCTTTCCAGGAGAGGAAAGGCCCTTATGGGGGCTCTGAGGCAGTGATCCAATTGCTGTTGCTAAGTAACAAACTGCCCTAAGATTTAGCAGCATAAAACAACAATTTACATTTTGCTCACAATTTTGTGGGTCAGGAATTGGGGAAGGGAATCAGTTGGGTGCTTCCCACTAGGGGTCTCCTGCTGCATCTGAAGGGCCGCTGGGATTGCTCATCAGGAGGCTGGCCCAGGCTGGCTTTCCCTGAGGGCTCCCTTTCACAGGGAGCCCAGTGGGCAGTGGACCTGAGTAGCCTGGGGTCCTGGGTACCTGGGGTTGACTTGCAGTGCCTGCCTGCACTTTATTCCTTACTAGTTTTCAGATTTTATTTATTTGGTTTATCCAAGGGTTAAAATCCAAAAACACCAGAGTTTTAAAAATTGAGGTGATAGTCACATAACAAAATTAATCACTTTAAAGTGTACAATGCAATGGCATTTAGTACATTGACAATGTTGAAAACACCAAAGAGTTTTACAGTGAAAGTCTCTTTCCCACCCCATCTCTCTCTAGTTCCTGTGTATCCCTCAGAGATAAGTTCATATATATATATATATATATATATATATACACACACACACACACACACATATATATGTGTATATGTATGTATATATATATATTTTTTTCTTTACATTTTATACTACATGCATTACCCTGGTCCTTGCTTTTTTGGTAGTGGCAACAATTAGCAAAATAACAATATTTTATTCTTATCTGGTGCCTATTCTGTGCCAGACACTATTCTAAGACCTTCACATGTATTATCTCATTTAATCCTCAGATGCATCTCATGAGGTGGGTACTGTTATTGTTTTTGGTGTACAGATGAGGAAACTGAGGCACAGAGGGGCTAAGTAACTTACTCAAGGACACACAAGCTAGTGAGTGGTATAGCCAGGGTTTCAACTTACCGTATTCAAACCTGTGGGATCCTCATTCTTTTAAAATATATTTTTATTGATTTCAGAGAGAGGAAGGGAGAGGGAGAGAGATAGAAACATCATTGATCGGCTGCCTCTTGCACGTCCCCCTGCTGGGGATCGAGCCCTAAACCCAAGCATGTGCCCTGGAATCAAACCTCAATCCCCTGAATCCTAGGTCAATGCTCAACCCCTTAGCCACAATGGCCGGACAGATCCTCATTCTTTTAAACAGCTTGTTCAATTTTTTTAAAAAATTAAACTTTATTTTGGAACACTTTGAGATTAACACGCTGTTGTTAGAAATAATACAGAGAGATCCCATGTGCCCTGTTCCCCCAGTGATAACCTCCTGCAGACTGTATAGCACAGCATCACAACCAGGATCCACTCATCTTATTCAATTCAATGTTTAAAATTGTTTTAATTGGTTGCAAACATTTGAAAGTCAGGAGATTCCACAAAAACTGTTAGATTTTTGGCTTCTCTTGAGCCATCAGATGAAGAAGCCTCCTCCAGAAGCAAAGCTCATTTGTTGAAGGCTGTCTGGTCAGAGAGTGGAGTGGGGGGTGGGGAAGGGAAAGCCACCAGCCAAGGGTGTTGTACTGGGGGTGGGAAGGGAGGCAACTCAGCCCAGTCCTGCTGGGAGACTGGAGACAGTGCAGAAAACTCCCCAGATTCATTACCCACCCACTTACACACCCTGAGGATTGCCAAGGGAGCTGGGAATCTACCTGGTAATCTCCCTCTCCCCTTTTCGCTGGTTGAAGGCTGCTCCCAGGGCAGCTGAGGAAGGGCTATGGCTTCTCTAGCCCTTCCAACCCACCTCTGAGCTGGCTGAACAAGCCCTAAGTCACCAGATGCAGCCCTCTAGCAGAGAGATGCAGGTGCTGGCTGCTGGCAGTCAAGCTGTGGGCTGTGCATGCCACGAGGGGTGGGGTGGGGCAGTGTCTGAAACAAGAACTGCTGCTTCCAGGAACAGCAACAGTGCCTGGCACAGCAAGGTGCTCAGTCAAGAGGGAACGGATGAATGCTGGAAAGCAAACAAGCTAGTGTTTCTGCTTGCTGGCCCTTCCAAGCAGCCTCTCTGCTGGTGAGGACCCCAACAACAGCAAACTCACTGTGCCAGCCAGAGCAGGAGCAGCGGAGAAAAGGGCTACAGCCAGACTTCTGAGTTCTCAGGGTTTAAATCCTAGCTCCACCCATGACTAGCTGTGTGGCCTTGGGCAAGTCCTAGCACCTCTCCAGACCTCAGTTTCCACATCCATAAAATGGGACAGTGAAACCCACAGGCCATGAGAGTGAGAAGTGAACTGGCTCACAGGGTGTGCTCAGAAGAGCTGTTCTCACCTTTTCAGTGCAGGCTGTGTGCCGGGTGCTTACATAACCGTTTGTGACCCCTGCAGCCTGAGTGGTTAATTACCACCCACTTGCGTAGATTGGGACAAGTCCCAAGGCCACAGGGCTGGTCAGGAGCTGAGCTGGGTTCACACTAAGATGTGCTGCTTCCCTGGACCACCAGGATTCGACTGCAGTCACTTCCTGCTGCTTGAGTGAGACGGGCCTCAGTTTCCCATCCATAGTACAGGGCTAAGGAGGAGCACTTTCTCCCAGAGTTATTAATGGGAGGAGGGCCATTTCCAGGCAGGCCTTTCACACGGAGCTTTGAGAGTGGGTGACACAGCCTGCACTGGAATGGAAGCCGAGGGGGGTACCCCTGATGGTGGGTGGGCTCCTGCCATCCCCTCCCCCCCCCCACAGATTGCAGGGAGAAGGGGTGTTAGGGGCACTGCCTGCTTTCTACACAGATCCCTCATTCTGAGCCAGGTTCATTATCATATGGCTTCCCATCATCAAGACACAAACCTCAACATCGCCTCTCTGGTGTGACTCCCATTGGAGCCCCACCAGCCCCCCAAGTCATATCCTAAAATCATAACACACTCAAGCTCCACTAACACTACAGGTGAACCCCCACCTAGCCGTCTCCCCTATACAAAGCCTGCCTCTTCCTAGAACACTGCCACTCCCCCCTCGAGTCAGCCCAGGGGCCAGTGACTCTATGACCTACCTACACATGGCTCCTGCAGGCCCTGGGCCCAATGAGGGGTTGGAGGAGGTGGCGCTGGGGCGGAGGTTCCCTCCCAGCTGGACCTTGATTGCCCAATCTCTCCCTGGCCTCTCCACAGAGCCAGGCGGCCTCCACCTCAGTCTCAGCCAGACATGTCTAGCCTCCAGGAGCTGTGCTCTGGCCTGCCCCTGCGGCCCCTCCCAGAGAACCAGGGACGTTGGGCTGGGGTGCCCCATGCCCCAGTCAGGACCCCTGGCCTCAGCCCTGCAGAGGAGAAGGTAAGAAGTTGAGCCCCATCCCTGCTCGGACCCTTTGCCCTCTGGATGCTTCTGGGAGGGTATCCTTTTCTTACTCTCTCTGCAGAAGCTGAGGCCTGGGCTCTGCAGGAGCTCCCAGTGAGGGTGACAGTGGGGTGGGGGACCAGATTCCATAACACCCCATATCCCTCATTCTCTACCCAATGACCACCCTTGGGCGCTGGATTATGCTCCCCATTTACAAGGACCCCGAGGCTCACAGTCACCCAGCCAGTTAGCGGTGGTGCTGTGGCTGCCTCCAGTCCAGGGAGGACTGGGGCCCGTGTGAAGTGCCCCAAACGCACAGCACCTGAATATGTGCCTTCCTGACCCAGACATGCACATACCTTTCAAGTTCTACTCTGCAGTGGGTCAGCTCTTGTTTTTGTTTATGGGGGGACACCCTCCCCCCAAATCTTCAGATGAGTTTTCAGCTTCCTGGCTAGAACCCTAGTGAGGGCACGCAGTAGTGGGGGGATGATTGGGGGGTAGTGTGAGAGCTAGCTGGGAGGCCAGGCACCCCTACTGGATCTCCCACAGTCCCTCCACCCAGCACCTCAGGCAAGTCACTGAGTGTCTAGGAACCCGCTTGTCTCCTCTGTAAATCGGAGATGAAAATGATTACACCACAGGGTAGCAGAGGAGACCAGACAAAGTAAAGTACACCGGTTGTTATATCTATAGTTTTCTTCTATGTTTTCTTTACTCAAAATTACTCAAAGAATTTTAGGAACAGTGGGGGGCAAGTAGAAAATATTAAACACAAAGATTAAGAGAGGAATCCCACCGCCCCACCTTGGATAAAGACTGCTACCCTTGGGGGTCTGCTCCCTACACTTTCTGCCAAGTACCTCCCACAAAGGGGGAAACTGGGTGCTGGGGGTGCTGGGGACTGGGCGCTGTGTGCCTGGCTGGGAAGAGCAGGTGTTAGGGAAGGGTGGGGGTGGGGAGCTCTGCCCCATCCCCACCCCACCCCCATTTGTCATACTGTGGCCCAGCTCAGCTGTGTCAAAGCAAAGGGTCATGTTTTTCTCCCACTCTGTCACCTCCCTGCTGGCTGTCAATGCCTTCACCTTTGACCAAGAGGGCCGGAAGGGCTCCACCACCTGCACATCTCAGGTGACACCCTATGGTTATATGCTGGTCATCAGCCGCCATGCTCTCTTTTGTTGAGAGGAGAGCACCTGGGAGCTAAGGAACAGGGGCTACCTCAGCTTTGCCAGTGTTTGCTGTCGTTTGTTCAGCTGGTGCCTGTGAAGTAATAAGAAATATGTGTGTATTTATCTCTGCCCTCCCCTCAGCTAATATATGGTTTTAGATCCCAGTTTCTGACACAGAGCTCCTAAATCAGTTGGAATTTCCTAGGTGATAGGAGCTGGGAGCGTCTTTTGTTCTAAGGAGGCCACTCTAGGTGTACATATAAGGTGGTGTAGGCCCTTAAAAATATAAGTGGAAGCATTATATACGTGTTAGGGTTTTGGGGGTTTTTTTGAGATTGTTTGTTATTGGTTATTTAAAGTCCCCATTCTTTGAACTGTTTCATAATATTTCATTTGGAACTCAAATATGTTCACTCTTTGCTCGTCTTTAAGCAGAACTCTCTGTTTAAATACGGAGTATGCTCTAAGTATAACATTCTAGCCACTGTATTCTCAGCATGAGCACAGGACAATTTCTACAGTACAGAGGAAAATTTAGTCATATACTGTGACCAGTTCCTTTATTTGAAATGTCTTCAGCATCTTCCCATTTGTCATTTCTCTTACTGACCTTTCCCCCCAGTTCTTCCCTACCTGAAGGGGCTCTTCTGGGAATCAGATACCAGTTCGGAAGACCTCACACACGTATCTGAGTTCCCATCACTGATACACTATCCTGAGCTTCTTGAGTGTGGGGCTCTGTTTGGCTCATTTCTGGATTTGCAGTGACAGAAGTTGTTTATTGAGTGCGTGGACAAGAGTATATGCTAAGCACCCAAACCAACATCCTACAAGAGTTCAGCAGGCAGGAGAAATACAGTAGGGCCTCTTGGAGGAGGTGGTCTTGGCAACATAGGCAAGGATAGACTGGGAAATCTGAGGAGGCCATTTGGAGACAAAGGGAGGCAGTGAATGAAGGTGCAGAGACTGGCCTTATTAGAGTATTTAGGGGTAGAGGAGGCCCCATGTAAGCCTGAACTGGATGCAAAGCTTAGAGAGCCAAGCCCAACCTGATTAGAGAGGACCCTGAATGCCAAGAATAGCGCTGTTTTTCTCAGATGGGGAGTAATGGGGAGCCCATGAAGGTTTCTAAGTGGGGAAATGATCTGCTGCTTAGCAATACTCTTCCAGAGAGTATAGAGGTTTCTATAGAGTTCCTAGAAGGGGTAAGGTGGGCTGGAGGAAACTATTGGCCACATGGAGGGCCATGAGTGTGAGAAATGATCATTTTGATAGCTGGGTCTCACACGGTGCATATGTGTGCCAGACACTGTCCTATCGTGTCAGTTCAGCCTTATAAGGTGTATTTCGCAGAGAGGGATCAGAAGCTCAGAAAGGTGATTCATGCATATGCTGTGTAGCAGACGCTCTGGTGCAGCCTGAGGCTTGGAGAGGAGCCCAGGCCTGTTACAGGACCTTGGACAACTCATACAACCTTTCTGAACAGCATTTTTTCATCTTAATGCAGAGAACTGCACCCCCTCAGAAACTTGGAGTGTTGAATCCAGGCCAGCAAACAGAGCTGCTGGTTTTTAAAATTCTTCACTCAAGAAATAATGATCACATGCTTCTTATGGAACTCTAGACATAAGGGATAAAGTTATTGAACAAAAATGGAATAGAAGACAACTTTCCTAAACTAAGTACAAACATGAAATTGCAAATAAAAAGACAAAGATTATCCTTGAAAGAAAAAAAAAAATTGATATAGAATAGTTGACACGAAGACATGTCTAAGCTAAATTATGGACTAATGAAAATTCAATGGTGATACGATGGAAATCTTATACAAGAGAAAAATAGGCAAATAACTTCTGTGCTGCATTTAGGATTCGGGAAATTGCCAGAATCCTCTTTATGTTCACGGCACACATGCATGAAGACTTCATTTTAGAACAGATGGAATTTTGTACAGTCTTTAAATACATTTCATGGAATGGCTGTGTCATTTCTATTGACTGACACAATTTAAAAGTCGTTAATTTTGACAGGAGCCTTTGTTGTGTTTCTGGGTTACGTGATGATCTGAAAATGTTGCAAAAGCATCTGACACAGTCAAACCGGGCCTTCTTTACCCAGTGCCTGGGCACATATCAAGTTCAGCCCCAGTAAGGAAGCCTGCATCTCTGTGAGGACGGTCAGGACGGTGGCTTCAGAGTGCAGCTGCCACCTCTCAGCAGGTTGTGAGATCAGTTAAGGGGTCGCAATCAGTATTGATTAGAAGCTAGAATAGGATAGAACATTGTAGGACCCTGGTAGTAAGGTTAAGTCTTGCGTGGAGTCTGTGTGCATGGTGTGTGTGTGTGTGTGTGTGTGTGTGTGTGTGTGTACTTTTGAGCCACTGTCCTGACTTCTCACAGCGTAACTTAGCCACACCTGCTCCTGACCTTTGTGTCCAAGGAGTGTACATACATCCCCTTTGTGTCCGCTGCTTTCACTTATCCCGGCTGCTCCATGTTCCTGTGGATCGTTCATCCTTCTTGCTGTCTGGTTGTGGTTCCCAAAGTGGGGTCCCCAGACCGGCAGCAGCAGCATCTGGGCATTTGTCAGAAATGCAAACAGAGACGTTGGAGGTGGGCCCAGCGCTCTGAGTAACTCGGGCCTGCTGGCCTAGAGAGACTCCTGTGGGGGGCGCATTCTTAGTCGCTGTTCTTAAGATCTGATCAAGGTGTTTTTTTCCAAGAAAGAAGGGAATATATGGTTTCATTCCATGTGAAAATTAAATGAAGGGATGCTCTGCAAACCCATTCAAGATTCCAAAACTCCCGAAATTGGCATTTTCTCCCTCGCCTGCTCTTGCCCTCGGCTCCCTCCCTCTCCTTCTCACCCTCTCACCCCACCTGCCCCTAATGCTCCAGGGCAGCCTGTGATTCACTCCCCAGGGCGCACTGGATGTGCTGTCCTTCCTTTCCTAAGCCTCTGCCCTTGGCCTCCAGGGCATCTGTGCTCCTGGCTGGGTTCCCAGCTCCCGGTCTTCCTGGCTGGTACTTCTGCCCCTGCCCAAACGCTGGTGTCCTCAGGGCCCAGTTCTAGGCCTTTGTTTTTTCGTCTGTCACCTCTGCCTTCCAGGATCAAAGCCGCCTGTCTTCTCCAAGTCCATACCACCTCTCCCCTCAGTAGACATGCGCTGAATGAATGTGTAAATAAATTTACCACATCCAGCTCCTCAGCTCCCCTCACCCCCAAAGTGGTTTGTTCTCCATGGTCATTGGATGAATAAATGGCCTCAATGTCCAGGTTGTCACCCTAGTGACCTCCCCCACTTTGCCTGCGTCCACCCTCATCCTCCAGTGTGGGTGTTACAGGGAAGAGAGCTATGAAATGGATCTGCCAAGGACTCTGGCCCTCTTCGAGCTCAGCAAGACAGATTATAAACAAGGAAGGAAACAACCAAATCACACTGTCTGACAGTGAAAAGCTCCAGAAGGCTAAGAGTCTAGAAGGTGATGTCAGGCAGGCCTCTGAGGAGGTGGCATCTGGGCTGAAACCAGAATGAAGGGAGGGGCCCTCCAAGAGAAGGCAGAGTGGCAAAGGGGGGATAGAAGGAGGGTAAGTGCAAAGGCCCTGAGGCAGGACCAAGAACATCAGGGATATTCCTGATGGAGAAGAGTGACAGGTTTGGTGGGAGCATGGGAGTTTGGGCTGCTTTCCCTAGTTGGATAAGGAGCCCTTAGAAGGTTTCTCCTGTCTCTGGCTTTAGGCTCTGTCCTGGGCCTCCCTGGATCTGGCAGGATCTCAGTCTCAGAGCTGCAGGTGTAGCCTGAGGCTACTTGCCAAGCTGCACTGGTGGAGAGTGTTTCTCTGCACTTGTACGAGGGGCCTGTGGGCTCCTGGCAGGTCTATTCTCACCCCCCTTGGTTCTGCATCTTCCGCTGCAGCCACAAGCCTCAGGGCAGGTCCCTGTCTGGTCCTTGCATGGAATTAAGCAGCCTGGTCTCATGAGCAAGACTCTTCTTGGGAAGGCTTCATGTAGGAGGTGACATTATAAATAGGCCAAGGGTGACAACTAGGCAGTCTCTGGGTAGGACCATAGTTTTCTGAGTGGAACAGGGGCAAATCCAAGTGGGGAATGATGGTTCATCGTGGAAGCCTCGACATTCTTGGCCTGGAGCCCCTGCCCCTGCTGCTCTCACCGCTCTCCTCTCCCAGCTGGCCCTGAGGAATGCCCTGCGCTACTTCCCCCTGGACGTCCAGAAGCTGCTGGCCCCCGAGTTTGCCCAGGAGCTGCGACTGTATGGGCACATCTATATGTACCGGTTCTGCCCCCGCATTGAAATGAAGTGAGTACTGTCGGGTGAAAGGGAAGGACCTAGGAGGGATCATGCTGGAGGTCAGGAGCCCCAGCGTCAGTAGGGAAGGGGAAATTGAGGCTGTCCACACTAGGTGGCCCAGGGATGTGGTGTGCTGAGTTGATGCACTTTGCACACAGAGAGGGGGTGGCAGTTTTGTCATCTTTGGGGTCTGTAGCCTATAGAGGTGGCTGAAGCCCCCAAGACTGGCCAGAAGATGGGTCCTTTTGGTCCACTGTCCTGGGCAGTCAGTCCTGTGCAATTCTGGAGCCAAGCTATATACAAAATTCCCTTTAAAACCCCATGTTTTGTGGTCTTGCCAGAGGGCAAGGAGAGGCTTAGAAGGTGGCTCTGCCCGTGTCTTCAGATGGCTCAGGCTTCCCATCAGGGCTCTCAAGCTGAATTGTCCATGGCACAGGAGGCATTGTGAAACTACGGGGGGCTGGGCCTCACCCCGCATTGCACAGCCAGCAGTTCTGGGGTGAGGCGGGAGGATCTGCCTATCACAGTTCCCTGCCCAGGTATCACTGAGCATTCTTGCTCTTGGATATACCAAAAGTCTAGACTTGTCTGGGACCACCCCAGGGAATGGCATGAACCCCATAAAGCAGGAAGCACATCTCTTCATTCCTGTTGTGGCCTGCTGCCTGGCACCTGCTCTAGAATGGGTGGCCAGGAGCACAGGTGGTGTGAAGGAAAGAAGGAAAGAATCAACTGTGCCCAGAGTAGAGGCTTCTGGAAAGCAGACATCAGCTTTGCTTCAAAGTTAGCGTTCTCCCAGTTGGAGCTGCAGAGAAGGGAGGAAGGGTGGCCCAGGGTGGGATGGGGGCCAAATTCCCCATACCTGGCAGAGTGGGGCGTGCAAAGCACGAGGTGAGCACCAGAGCCGGTTGGCCTTGGTTCCGGCTGGGCGCTCCCAGGCAACTTCTGCAGCAGGACGTCGGGTCTCACTGTCCACACCTGGTGCCCTCCCACGGCCACGCCTAGCAGCTGGACTCCCCTTGCAGGGCCTACCCTCTGCAGCAGTACCCCTGCCGGACGAAAGCTGCAGCAGCTGTCATGCACATGATCATGAACAACCTGGACCCCGCCGTGGCCCAGGTAACGCCAGGGCAACCGGAGCAGGGGCGGCACTGTCCCAGGGAACTGTAACGTGAGGCACGTGTGTAACGCATTGAAGCTTTTTATCTAGAAATAGTGAGAGATTTCCAGGAAGTTGTAAAAATAGTGCAGAGAGGACCACGTACCCTTCTCCCTGAGCCCCCCGCCCCCAGTGGCTCATTCTGTAACTAGAGCACAGCACCAACACTAGGACACCAACGTTGGTATAGTAGAAATGTGTAACTTTAAGGTTTGTGACAGCCACATGAAAAAGTAAAAAGAAACAGATTTAATACTATATTTTGTTTATCCTGATATACCTGAAATATTATCATTTTACATGTACTCAGCAAAAAAATTATTGAGATACNAGCCACATGAAAAAGTAAAAAGAAACAGATTTAATACTATATTTTGTTTATCCTGATATACCTAAAATATTATCATTTTACATGTACTCAGCAAAAAAAATTATTGAGATACTTTACATTTTTTTCCTATTAAGTCTTTGAAATCAGGAGTGTGTTTTACACTGACCAGAGCATGTCAGACAAGCCACGATTCAAGTGCTCTCTAGCCACCTGTGGATGGGACAGCGCAGGTCTAGCCACGTGTGCCTGTCATGGGCCTCCTGGATCACCAGTCTGTGCATCATATCCCATATTTGAGAAAGGATAGCCTTCGCAGGGTGAATCTCGAAGTATTATACTTGAGGGTGATATGGTCCCAGAATTTGACCACCCTGCCTAGTGGTGAGAGCTTCCTCAGCACTGGCCCTGGCCCCAAAACTGGATCACAGGTGGACTCCTGACATTGACCCCAGGATAAGTTCCCAAAGTGACTCCAGACCCAGCTCTGTTCCTCACCCCAAGCTGTTACCCCAGCCACAGGTGGACAGATGTTCCTGCAGAGGCTGCTATCCCTGGGCTTCACCCCTTTGGCTTCTCCCCTTGCCCCCACCACTCCTTCTTAATGGGCCATCGACCTCCTTGCCCCCTAGAGCCCAGTGCAGGGTGGGGGCTCTCCCTTCCCAGGTCTCCACCTCAGATGACACCATGTCTTCTCCAGTTTCCCCAGGAGCTCGTGACCTACGGAGGAAACGGACAAGTGTTCAGCAACTGGGCTCAGGTATGCTGGACTATGAAGCCTGGCCCCTATGCCCAGGCTGCCCCCCAACCATTCCTCTGGCTTGGAAGGAAGTTACAAACCCAGGGCTCAGGACTCAGGTCTTCACCTGCCTGCTGCCTGAGATCACAGCACTGGAGACACTTGGGGATATTGAAGGTCCTAAGGGTAGGAGTGGCGTTATTGGAGGCACCAGGAGCCACTAGAGTGTAACAGAGGCCTGGAGGGCTGGGGCACTTGGCAGACTGCTGAGGCCTGGGGAGCTATCAGAGGCTGGATGGTGGCTTGGGGTCCACTGTGGGACCTCCACTTACAGAGCCCTCCATGCTGTGCTCTCTCCTGCAGTTCTGGCTGACGATGTCCTACTTGTCACAGATGACAGAGGAGCAGACCCTGGTCATGTACAGTGGGCACCCACTGGGCCTCTTCCCAAGCAGCCCTGGAGCCCCAAGGCTGGTTATCACCAACGGGATGGTGGGTCCCGGGACAGCCAGGCATGGTGCCAGCCTGGGAGCAGCAGGGAGGGCCAGGAGTCTCTGATACCCGCTTAGCTATCGCTTCCAAAGGAGCTGTGCTGCCCCTAGCCCTGGCCTCCCACCCCTCTTTTCCAGGTCATTCCCAACTACTCTTCCAGAGAGGAGTATGAGAAGCTCTTTGCCATAGGGGTTACAATGTAAGTCTCTAGTTCAGTTTATATCATGTCACTCCAGTAAATATCATGTATTTCCACTTTTATTATAAAGCAGTGTAGCAATATTAAATACAATTTTGAGAAATACAGTCACAGCACTGTAGCAATTTCATATTTACATATTTCCAGTAATTTTTATGAATATGCCTACAGTTTTTATATACTTATAAGCAAGTGAACATACAATTTGAATCCTGCTTTTTTCCCAACATTTTATTATGAAAGATTTCAAATATACAGAAAATTGGAAGAATTAACTGTAAACACAAAAAATTCTGTGACTAATGTACTACTAAACTCACTTTATCCTGTGTCTGTCTGTTTGTCCCTCCATCCATCTGTCCAATTGGGTTTTGATGCATTTCATAGTAAGCTGGAATTCAATATTTGTTTGTATTTTTTTTTCTTTTGAAGTGAAATTTACACGTCATGAAATGCACACATCTTACATATATCGTTTGATGAGTTTTAACAAATGCATGCATCTGAGCAGCTCAAGACCCACCAAGATGCAGAATACTACCATTTCATTTGTTAGAAACTTTTCCCTCAGACGTTATAAAAGGAGCTACAGTGTAAAGGAAATCCCTCTCCTGCCCTGGACTTCCCAGTTTACAGTGTCCCCTGTGTCCTTTAAAACATTTCCTATACTGTGGCTACAAATTTAGATAATTAGACCATTATGACGCCTCCACACTTGCCTTCTCCCTTTGACAATATAGTTCTTTCTCTTCTGTGCAGCATTCCATTGTGTGCATGTGCTGCAGTTCGTTTCTTTTTCCTCCTGTTGATGGGCATTTCAGCTATTTCTGGGTTTGGCCACTGCAAACCAAGTTGCTATGAACAATAGTGTGCATGTCTTTTCATGGGCATAAGCATGGAAAGTGGAAGTGCTGGGTCATGTTCAACTTTGGTCAAATGGTTAAGTAGTCCCCAGTGTGATTTTACCAATAATATTGCAGTTTATAAAAGGTCTGAGAGGCCAGAGGGGAGCAGAAATGGGGGACCGTAACATTTTGTAAAATGTTTTCTTTCGTATTTTTAAGGAGAATGTACTAATGCATTTTGGAGTAATCAAAAAATAAATGTTAGGTGTTCTCCCTCACGCTATACCTCCGCCTCCCCCTGCCCCTCCTCTTCCTCCCAGGCTCTTTACCATTACCTTTCTCACTCCCAAGCTCCAAGGGCCCTTCCTTTGCCTCTATAACTTGTTTCCTAAGCCCATTTCTTCTACTTTCCTAAGCCCATTACTTCTGATACCTCTGTGATTTTTTAAATAAATGTTCTCCTATAAAAAACAACAACAAAAAATCCCTGGCTGGTGTTGCTCAGTGGTTAAAGCATTGGCCTGAGCACTGAAGGGTCGCAGGTTTGATTCCTAGTCAAGGGCACGTACCTGGGTTGCAGGTGACCCCTGGCCCTCGTCTGGGGTCCGTGCAGGTGACAATCAATCAATGTGTCTCTCACATTGATGTTTCTCTCTCTCTCTCCCCTTCCCTCCCTTCCACTCTCTCTTAAAAAATCAATGAAAAAAATATCCTTGGGTGAGATAAACAAAAATAAAAAATAATAATAATAAATAAATAAATAGAAATAAATTTTAAACCATCAAAAGTGGGTGGCTGGCGCTGGGCTTATTCCCCTGCTTGCCTTTTCTGTGGTCAGGTATGGCCAGATGACAGCAGGCAGTTATTGCTACATCGGTCCCCAGGGAATCGTTCACGGCACAGTGGTGAGAGACGGGGTCATGCCTAGTATCGGGGGATAGGAGGTGCACACGCTGGGAGTGGACAGTGAGCTTCGGACTCCTCTCCCTGCAGCTCACTGTACTGAATGCTGGGCGTCGGTACCTGGGCGTCGAGGACCTGGCTGGGAAAGTCTTCGTCACCTCTGGATTGGGCGGAATGAGTGGCGCTCAGGCCAAAGCCGCAGTCATCGTGGGGTGCATTGGTGTGATAGCAGAGGTGAGCACGCCAGGAATGCTGAGGCCCCGTCCTTGCCCCCCCTTCCCTTCTCATTGCAGAGCCACTCACACTCACACCCCTCTTTTCTCTCGCCCCCTCCACAAACCTCCAAGAGTGAGTTCCCAGGGCAGCATACACCTCCTGCCTTCAAAGAGCCCATCATTTTCCATGGCCGGTGCCTGTTGATGCTGTCCCATGAATCTGACCTGTGGGCACCGCTTCCCTTACCCCACTGAATCCTAGAATATAGTGGGGAGTTAATAAATGCTTGTGAATAAATGAACATGGACTCCCCCAACTCAGACAGGTCACAGTCAGGTGGGGGAAGCAGACGAGTTGCCATCAGTAGAGGGGAGTGCCACCGCTTTTTCTCAGTGGCTGTCACAGCTTTCTTTGGTAGTGCCATGGACAGGAAGGCAAGCAGGAAGAGGAGGTGAGTGGTGATATGTACCAATGTGATCTGCACTTAGTTGATACTAAACCTGTGACATATGTAGCCCATTTGGCTGCAGTACCAGAAAACCGAGCTACAGCAGCTCACATAAATAGGGTTTTATTTTTCTCATGTAACCAACAGTGTTGGCATTGGTTCAGCAGCTCAGGGCCAATATCTCTAGATTCTCTTGGGCTTTTGTTGTGGGTACAAAATGATTGCCACAGCCACAGCCATGCTTTCTATATTCAAGGCAGGAAGAAGGGAGAAGGGGAGGTACCAGCTATGGCTGACTCTATTTTAGCAAAAAAGATGTCTCCAAACTCTGGTCAGTGTTGGATCAAATGGATGTTTTATCTGCAAGGAAGTTGGAGACAATGGAAAGGATATTTGTGATTAGTTTGGACATGGCTCATCTCCTGGGGCTCAGCACAGTGTCACCCTAAACATGATCTAGGTTCTGTTGATAAAGAGGACAGGAAGGAGAATGAATATTGGAAAGCATCTCATAGTGTTTTCCCTGAGACTGTTATAAAAATGGGTGATCTACATGGAAGGATAACACCTACCTAGAGAAGGGTGACACACCCTAGGATGATTTGTGACTAGGTGGCTTTGTGTTTCATGGTCACAGGTGGATAAAGCAGCCCTTATGAAACGCCACCAGCAAGGTTGGCTGATGGAAGTGACCGACAGCTTGGACCAGTGCATTGGAAGACTCAGGTACAACTCCTGACAAGTGAGCATTAAAAGTGGGAAGGGGCCCAGAGGCTGGGTTGGTCCGCCTGACATCTGGCCACAGGTGGCCACCACACCAAGTGACCACTCAGAGGCGGTATAGTGGGGTCTTCTAAATTCTGTTTCTCACTGGTCGTTATTGCTGGTGTGTAGGAAACCCCTGGGTTTGCATACTTTGGTGGCCTGACAGCTGGTTCTAACAGATTTTCAATCATCCTCTTGCTTTTCTCCAATAGTCAGCCACAGTTTTGCAAAGAACGTGTCTGTTTCTCACTGTTGTGACCTCAGTGCTTAGCCCAGAGCCTGGCACATAGTAGATGCTCATTGAACTTATTGGGGCAACATGAACCTTTGAAAGATGGAGCTTTCCCCTCAGTGTGACTCCATCAGATGCAATATTCAATCTCCCTCCCCATTTATGCTGTGATTGCCTATGCGGAGCCGGATGAGGGGGGCAGCATTTCTTAGTGGAAATGGGGGAGAAGACTACCTTGGGTCTGCTGATCAGATGCCATTTTGAAAGCATCCTCTCAACTGATTTACTTTGTGGAACTGAGCCTGTGTGGGGAAGATGCATCGGTGCTGTGGCTCTCCACCCTGGCTATACTATTCTCATCAAATGGAGCTTGAATGAAAATGTTCAAGTACACACAGAATTTGAGAAATATTCCCAAGATGGGATACTGTTTGGCATATATCTTTCTAAAATATTAGTTTGACCACATTGCACCCCTGTGTAAAACTCTCAGATAACTAACTCTCCATTAATTATACGAAAAATTCCAAACTCCTACTGTACCACTGAAGGCTCTTGCCTGATTTGGCTCCTATCCCTGTTAATGCTGGTTAGCATCTTGAACACACACACACACACACACACACACACACACACACACAAAAACTTGGAGACATACACACACGCTCACACACACTTCCAACCACTCTGATATTCTTGTCGTCTCTAAACATTCTGCCACTCTGGTATTCTGCCTTCTCCCTCTTGTCACTCACACAAAGTTTGGGCCAGCTTAAATCCTTAATTCCTACTGCCACACACAATAATTTCACATCAGTTTAACAAACTGCCTTAGGCAGCCTGTTTGGTCACATTTCTGTTCCCTGAGCTGCAGAAGACACAGATGGGAATGGAGTGATGGGGCTCATGGTGCCCATTCTGGCCCTTAGGCTGAGGTGCAGTCCTCCTTCTCCAGTGTCCCTTACTGCTCTGGGGCCATGTGCCCTTTTCCTGCTTTGTGATCCTTGTGCACCTGGGAGAGAGGAGCATGTCTGGCTTCCGCTGGCATCTCTCTGCCAAGCAAGGCCTTCAGGTGATCTGCATCTTTGAATGGGTGCCCCACTGCCCCACTGCTCCACTTATTGTTGCTTTTTGATACCTCTCATATCTGTGAGAGCTTTTATGTATTCAAATCTTCTGTTCCCCAAAATATGCTTTCATTTTTTTGTACTTTTTTTTTTCCAAGTAATGTTTGGAATCAACTTTATTGACTTTTATTATCTGAGGATCACCCTGAATGAATTCTAGAAAGGTCTTTATTAGAGTTCTAACAGCGATGGCCCTAATTCTAAGTATTGCCTCAGGAAGGGCTGTCACTATTATCACCTCAGTTCTCCTCTGTGGGGTTCTCAAGTCTGCTGTTTCCCTTATGGTCTGGGTCCTCAAAGTACACACCTCATAGGTTCCTGTGTCTCAGGCCCTACCCTTGCACACAATACTTTTGGTGGCCTCTTGAGTCTTCTGCATTCTAGCCATCTAGGTGGCCACTGTGTGTTGGTGGGGGTGGACAGCTTTGGGCAGATGTGATAGGTCCATCTGCTCTGTTTTTGTGCCCTCTAGGGAAGCAAGGAAAAAAAAGGAGGTGCTCAGCCTTGGTTACCATGGCAATGTGGTGGATCTTTGGTAAGTGCAGGAGTGGGAGTCAGCAGCCTTGGGGACCCCAGGTGAACCTCTCCCTTCAACCAAGGTCCTAACAGTGACCAGGTACTCCCGGAACACAAAGCTTCAAGTGCTGGTTTGAGGCTCTGCTTGCAGCACTCAAGACCTGGATCGTGGCCTGAGCTCACAGCGGCCTTTCTGCGGTGTTCTTTGGGGGTAGAGGGGTTAGGGCAGATGTAGGATTAGCCTCAGTCCCTGACTACTGGATGTGTGGGCTGGAAAACGTGCTATAGTTTCCTCCTTGCTGAGCCCTAAACTCAGGTCCCAGGTGCTGCCTGCCCCTGACCTGGGCAGGTGCTTCTCTACACTGACTATCCGACATCTTCTCTAGGGAGCGCCTGGTCCACGAATTGGACAAGACAGGGGAGCTCTTGGTGGACCTGGGGTCAGACCAGACATCCTGCCACAACCCATTCAATGGTGGCTATTATCCTGTGCAGCTTGGTTTTGCAGAGGCCCAGAGCCTCATGGCTTCTGATCCTGGAAAATTCAAGGGCCTGGTCCAGGAAAGGTGATGCAGATCTCAGGGCTGCTCAGGGTGTGGGGCAGGGGTGTGGGGCAGGGGCTGCACACTGGAAGGAGCTTTCGGACTGAGCAGCTGTGGCCTCTGCCTGGTTCTCCAGTGGCCAGCTGTATGGCCTTGGGTAAGACCCTTAACCTCTCTGAGCCTCTGTCTCCTCTTCTGTCAGATTCAGTGGAAGTCAGCAGAGCTGGCTGAGCTTCATGGGGTGAAGCTGGGGGGGGTGACAGTGATGGGACAGAGATGGCCCATTTTCAGAGTCTCACTGGTAGGCAGAACTGACAGCTGACTACTGGCCTGTTGCAGCTTGAGGAGGCAAGTCTCAGCCATCAACAGGCTGGCCAAGGAGAACTTCTTCTTTTGGGACTATGGCAATGCCTTCCTCTTGGAGGCCCAGAGAGCAGGTGAGAGAAGGGAGGCTTGGTGAGGAGGCCCCATTCTTCTTGGGCTGGTAGTGGGCACACTCCCTTCCCTCCAGCCAGGGGTGGCCTTGTGGGCACTGGGGGAGGCAGGGGCCATGGCAAGCAGTTTTCACTGTGCCCCTGCCCTGCCTTCTGGAAGCTGATCCTGCCAGCTTCACCTCTCTGGCTTCAGTTTTTCCATTTGCCTTACAAATATAAAACAGTATAAAGAGAGTGAGTACAATGCTTTGGTATGAGCTCCAGTGCAAAAAACTGCAGCTTAATTTTTTCATAAAGGAAACTCCTTTCTGTAAAACAGGTGATTCATTCATGAATTGTAAAGTTCAGAAGGTACAAAAGATATACAGTTGACGGTCTCCCTCCCAGCCCATCTTTGGCACCAGCTCTCCCCCCAACCCTGGAGTCTTCAGGCTCTGGGGTGCCCGCCTGGACATGCGCGATGCAGACATGGGCATGTGTACATGCTCCCCTACCGCGTACCGAGAGCACATCGGCTCCAGATGGTACTGCACTTGCTCTTTTTTTACCTGAAAAGAGACCTGGCAATGCTTCCCTATCAGGACAGAGCCTCTGCAGTCTTTCCCTGGGCTCTGTTTACATTGTCATCTGGATGGTGGTGTATGTCCTCACCTTGGGGTGGGCCTGCCAGCCCTTGGCACCTCCAGGTGACTGTGAGGATGCTCTGTCCATAGGAGCTGATGTGGAGAAGAAAGGTGCCGAAAAGACCGAGTTCCGCTACCCCTCCTATGTCCAGCACATTATGGGGTAAGTGATGAGGCCTCTGCCAGTGTCTGGGTCCTGGATGTTCAGGTCAGAAAAGCCTCTCCTCTGACCACAGCTGAGGCCCCAGAGTGGCCACCACACCGGGTCATGGGTTGCCATCACAGAATGCAAGTGAAGAGAAACTGAAACCGTCAGAGACCTTGCACAGGGCCCCAGTGAGAGGACAAGCAGGCTGCAGGGGCCTGGAGCCGAGGTCACTTCCTGGTAAAGCCCCCAACCTTCAGTACCCACCACCCTAAATGCTCTGCGTCCCATGGCCATGGCCAGGGGCCCAAGAGGGTGCTGATGGCGTGATTCATGGAGGGCAAGGCCTGCTGTCCTCTGAAGCCCCTGTGCCTACCTGGCTGTGCAGGGCAGGTCCGGGGGAGCCAGTGGCCCAGGACAAGTAGGGAGGAGTGGGAGGTACCCGGAGGGAGCCCGGCTGAGGGTGGAGGCTTGGAGGCCAAGGCCAGGGGCAACACAGGGACAGGAGAGGGAAGGCCTCAGGATGTTTTTGGAAGATTCCTGGCCCTCAGTGTAGCACAGTGGGAACAGGGAGGGAGGGAGGCAAGAAGACAGGCATCTCCTTCTCAGGTTCCCTGTGGGTGGGGGCATCTGGGGACTCTCTGGGGAGGGAAGCAGTAGTGTAGCCCATGAGGGGCTGGGTGAGTGGGAACCCAGGGAGGGCCCAGGCTGCTGCCTCTCTCGGGGTGGAGTTCATGCTGGAAGGTCAGATCACCTAAGGCAAATTTGGCCAACTCCCCACATTTACTATTTCTCCTGTTTAGCTTTCCTTGACTGATTGTCAGGTTGTCTATAACAGCAATTTAAGGAATTTCTGCTTGTCTGTGTCCCAGCTCCCTGCTCCTGCAGCTAGAGATGGAGCAGCTCTGAGAGGGCAGACAGAGAGCTAGAGGGGGGGGAGAGCACTGAGGGACAGAGCAGACTGAGGGTAGGGAAGAGGGTGGAGGAGGAAAAGTAGGAGAGGGAAAGGAAGGGGGCCTCAGGGAGAGGGGTGAAAGGAGAGGGGGGGCCAGAAGGGGGTTCTGAGGGGAATGCAGGTGGAGGAGAGAGGGGCTGAGGGGAGGGGCTAAGGGGAGGAAGATGGAGTTGGAAGGAGAGGAACCAAGGAGGAGGGAGAAGGAAAGGGGGGGAGCTAAAGAGAAAGAGGTAGAGGAGGAGGGAGACTGAGGAGAAAGGGGACTAAAGAATAGAGGGGGGCTGGAGGAGGCAGGGCCTCTGAAACTTCCCCTCCAGTTAGTGATGTAGAGGCTTCCAGTGACAATTCTGGACATTGAAGCCCCTCCCCCACTTTACTACACATGCCCACACACAATGCCCCCAACACCGCCCCCACTCACACACAGCTCTGGAACACACGCCAGTCTCCCCTCCCTGGATCCTGGTGCTCCTGGCCCGCCAGTGGGTGCAGCCCGCTTGGGAAAGCGAATTGGCATTTTGTCCCTGCAGGGATATATTCTCCCAGGGATTCGGGCCTTTCCGCTGGGTCTGCACATCAGGGGACCCCCAGGACCTGGCAGTCACAGATCAGCTGGCCACGTCTGTGCTGGAGGAGGCCATTGCTGGCGGAGGTAAGGCTGGAGATGCTGGAGGGTGGGTGGCCCCCCAAGTCCCCCACAGTAAGCCTGCCTGCCTGGCAGTGCAGGGCAGCCTTCCCCCAACCCCCTCTCCTCATTCCCCGCCTGGCCCTTGTGGGCAGAGGGGCACAGGCTTCCAGTTTGTGCCTGTCGGTCAGTGCCTCTGATTCTCTGTAGCCGCCTCTGGGCCCCTCTGAGCCTCTGGCCTCCCACAGCTATCAGGCCCACTCTGCTTACTTCCAGTCAGAGTGTCCCATGGAGCTGTGGATTTTCTGCTACAGAGCTTTGGTTCGGCCTTTTCACGTGGAGGGGGGAGGTTGTTTCACCACAGTCCCTTCTTGTGCTTATTGAAGGAATGAATGTATCAGACAGTGGGCTGCACACTTCTGTGCATTAATTTGCATGACTACCAGCATTGCTGCTTCCGAAAATCAGACCGCCCAGTGTGGTGCTGAGGAGGGAGTCTCTCTGACTCAGCTTCTGGGCTCCAGCAATGGGTGAAGAACACGTGCCTGTGCCCAGCAGCCTGTGAGAGGGAGGGTCAGGGCTCCTGGCGCCTGTCACATCCTCCCCTTCTCTCCTTGCAGTGAACCCAGCTGTGAAGCTGCAATATATGGACAACATTCGCTGGATTCGGGAGGCTGCCAAGCACCGGCTGGTGAGGGCTTGACCTGGTGGCGGACCATGGGACTGCCCACCTGGCCAGTAGATGAGCCATCCGAGAGGGTGCCAACACACCCCGTGAGACTGCTTAGGTGGCAAACCCACTAGAGCCAGCAGCTACCTCACCGAGGGGGCTGCTGGACAGAGAAGCTAGAGGACTTTCAAATGGTGGCCTGGGACAGTGACCAGGGTCAGTCAAGTCGCTCTTTTCCCAGTTACTCAAATAGTTCTCTTGAGAGGCGGCCCCTACAGGGCCCAAGAGGTGGGTCTCCTGGCTCAGCCTTTCTGAGCCTCCTGTTTCATCTGTACAGTGGACTACACCTGGCTGTGGTAGTGTGCTTGGGGTGGGCTCTCCTTGGCAGTCAGTGCATGGGGCACTGATCGGTGAGGCACTGATAGGGCTATGGTTGCCTTGGCCTCATTTCTGTGACTGTGACTATGCTCAGGTGAGTGTGAAAATGAATGTGATGTGGGGTGGGGACTGCAGAACTGTTTTTACCATTCCCAAACTAAAACTCTGTGCCCATTGAAGAACAGCTCCCCATTCCTTTCTCCCCAGAGGTGCTGCATCCTGGCGGTTGAGTGTGTAGATGCTCCACCATGCCATCTACCAGCTGAATGACCACGGGCAGGTTGCTCAGCCTCCCTGGGCCCCAGTTTCTTCATCTGTAAAATAGAGCCTACAATGAGGATAATAGCATTTTCCTCATAAAACTCACAAATGAATGCCTGTGTAAAGTCCTGGAGTTGTGTCAAGCACAATAAAAAAGTGCATTAGATAGTGTTAATATTATTACTGGGAGGACTTGAGCAGAGTAATGCTCATAATAGGTGACATCCCTGGAGATGGGTGATTCAGAGTCTCAGAGGCAGAATGCAGGTGGACAAGCCAGAGGGTGGTATGGTTGCTTGGTGGGCTAGATGTGAGCTTGCCTCAGGCCCACAGACTTTAGGGCTACCACGTACCTTGGGCGTCCTCCAGAACCTTCCTGGAGGCGACCATCTGGCTGCTGGTGGGACATATCACCCAAGTGTTTCCCATGTACCACCAGGTCACTTAGGTGCCTGCTTTCACCTTTCTTTCTGCAGGTGGTGGGCTCCCAGGCAAGGATCCTGTACTCAGACCAAAAAGGCCGTGTGGCCATTGCTGTGGCCTTTAACCAAGCCATCGCCCGGGGGAAGATAAAGGTGACATTTCCTGTGCTGCTGGTGGGGGCCTCCCTTTGGCTCTTTCCTGTCAGCGCCAGCACTGCCCCAGGGCCCTGTGTATGTGTATGTGTCAGTTAAGGGTCGGATAGTTGGGCTCAGGGAGTGATGATCTGTCCTCAAACTCAGGCTCTGACACTGGTCCCTATGTGACTTTGGGCAAGTCATGTGCCCTCTCCTGAGGCTGTTTCGCTCCTGTTGAAGGAGAATCATGTTAACCTCAAAGCATAAGAGTAAGGATTCAATGAATTGTTGACTTATCTTTTTCAAACCATGACAAACCTCCTCTTTTCCTCTGAGTCAGCCCGACTCCCCTTGGAGGACATGGAGCCCTGGGCACACTGTTCAGAGGGACCTCTCATCCCTCTGTTTTTAGGCTCACTTGCAGAGTTCTTGTGACAGCCCTCTGTTTAGAAGCACCAGGAATATTAATGATCAGACGTGAAAAGGAAATCGAAATAGATGAAAGTGAAGGCTGTCCCTGTGGATGGTTCTGGGTGGCACTGGCAGCAAAATCAACAGCCTGGCCTTTCTCAGGGAGCGCCACCTGAGCGCACCACTGTTGGGCGCTTCCTGAAAGCCCACGGTGCTCAGGGTGCTCACAGGATGGCTGGCAGAGTCACACCCAGGCTGGGGTCAGAGGTCAGCACTGAGAGCTGGGTGTTTTAATCCTTCCTTCCTTCCTTCCTTCCTTCCTTCCTTCCTTCCTTCCTTCCTTCCTTCCTTCCTTCCTTCCTTCTTTTCTTCCTTCCTTCATCTGTCTACTGATTGACAGCTTCCTCTGTGCCAGGTGTGTTCTAAGCACTGGGGGCAATGTGGCAAAGAAGTTAATAAACAGAGTCCCCACCTTAACCTCTTTACTATTGAAGAGAATCTAACAATATACAACTAAAGGTATAAATTCAAGGAGAATTTTAGATGGCGACAAACTGAAGAAAATAAGGTGAGGTGACAAAGTGGGTGTGATTGGGTGGGGTGAGCGGTGACTCTAGGTGGGGTGGTCAAGACAGGCCTTTCTGAGTTGCTGGTGTAGAACTGAGGCCTGAATATCCAGAGGGTATACCTGGGTGGTCCCAGGACACAGGTGGAGAGGTGGAAGCAAATTTGGCCTGTTCAAGGAAAGGCATGGAGGTGTCCTTGATTCATAGCAGTGGGGAGTTACCCTTTTGGCAGGCTACCTCCTATTGCATGAGGAGTCTGTGAATGTCCGTGCCCACTGGGGAGGGCTGGGAAAACCGACACCCAGTGGTGTCACAGACTCAGGGGCCAGTCTGCCTGAAGGGAGAGCCCGGATTCTAGTATGCTGTGTGTGGCTTTAAATCCCAGCCTGCCCACTTACAATCTCTGTGATGTTGGGCAAGTTTCTTATCCTCTCTGGGCCTTAGTTTTCCTCTCTTTAAAATGGGCATGGTAACAGTCGTGCCTATCTGGATAGGGTTGTTGAGAAGACTTAGTGATATATTATGCAGGGCCTTCTGGGCATATAGTAAGTGCTGGAATAAGCAGAATCCATTAGTAGCTACCCGAAGACATCAAAAACATCTGTGCTTCCTCTTGCTAAATGTCTGTTTTCCAGGGGGCGGTATTTGAATATGGCCTGATTCAGCCCTGCCCTCTGCTGGGCAGCCGTAGTGGACACTGTTGGCTGACATTTCATATCCTTCCACACTGCAGGCCCCAGTGGTCCTGAGCCGAGACCACCATGATGTGAGTGGCACGGACAGTCCCTTTAGGGAGACCTCCAACATTTACGACGGCTCTGCCTTCTGTGCAGGTGAGGAAGATAAAATTTTTAAAACATTTTAAAAAAATGTTGGATTTGGATTTTATTTAAAAATCAATTGATTCATTTAGTTAGTCATGATGTTACAAAAAATGTGCTGGCATTTGAAAGGCAGGACATAGGGTGACCAATCTAGAACAGAGGGGGTTCTGGGATATGGGACCTCAGGTTTTAAAATTGGGCCAGTGGCCCTAGCCAGTTTGGCTCATTGGTTAGAGCCTTGGCCTGCGGACTGAGGGCTCCCGGGTTCAGTTTGGGCCAAGGGCACATACCTTGGTTGCAGGCTTGATCCCTGGCCCTAGTGATCAGGGTGCGTGTGGAAGGCAACCAATCAATGTGTCTCTCTCACATCGATGTTTCTCTCTCTCTTTCTCCCCCTTCCACTCTCTCTGAAAAGCCATGGAAAAAAATATCCTCGAGTGAGGATTAAAAATAAATAAATGAATGAATGAATAAATAAATAAATAAGTAGGGCCAGTGCTAGGCAAATTGGGACAGTTGGATACCCTAGACTTGGGTGTGCTTCTGGCCCCATCACTTGCTGGGTGATCTTCGGCAAGGTACTTAAAGTCTCTGAACCTCACTGACCCTGTTTGTAAAATTGGAAGAGCAATGGTATCTACTGCATAGGGTTGTTGTGAAGAATAAGCTGAATGGACACATCTCCAGCAGGGCCCCATAGCCAGTGTTCGGTGACGGTTCGCCGCCACCGCTGCTCTCACTGCTGCTGCTTCTGCAACTGCTGTAATTATCGTCTTCCTCACAGAGGCGGATGTCTACTCCTTGGGTGGCTTTCCCATTCCCGGCACCTGAGGGCTCCTCCCATTATGGACAGGGTCCCAAGGGAAGGAGGTGGGCACTCAGGAGCACCATCCTTTTTTTCAAGGATTTGGTCTGTTTCATGGAAGTTATCAAATTTATGGAGAGTGATATTCTTTTATTTGCTTTTTATTGTCTGTGGGGTCAGCTGTGATATCCTCTGTCATTTCTGATATTGGTCATTTGTGTCTTTCTTTTTTATTGATCAGTTTGGCTAGAAGTTTATCAAGTTTATTAATCTTCTCAAAGAAGATTTTAGTTCATGTGATTTTCTTCCCATTGCTTGTCTGCTTCCAAGTTCATTGATTTATGCTCTAATCGTTGGTATGTCCATCCTCTGGCCTGCTTTGGGTTTAATTTGCCCTTCTTTCTGAAAGGTAGAAGCTGAGGTTACTGATTTAAGACCTTCTTCTTTTCTAATATAAGTATTTAATGCTATAAATTTATCTCTGAACCTACTTTAGCTATATCCTACAGATTTTTATATGATGTATTTTTATTTTCACCCAGTTCAAAATATTTTTAAATTTCCTTTGAGACTTCTTTGATCCAAGGGTTATTTAGAAGTATGTTTTTTAATTTTCAAATTTGGGGGGATTTTTCAGATATCTTTTTATTACTAACTTCTAGTTTAATTCTATTATGGTGTGAGAACTTACTGTGTATTACTTCTGTTCTTTTAAATTTGTTAAGGATTCCATGGCCCAGAATGTGGTCTATCTTGGAGCACTTGAGAATGTGTATTCTGCTGTTATTTGGTGAATTTTTCGTAAAATGTCAATTAGGTCAGGTTGGTTGATAATGCTGTTCAGGTAGCCTATCTGTACTGATTTTCTGCCTCTTCTATAAATTACTGAGGGAGGAGTGGTGAAGTTTCCAAATCTATTTGTGGATGTGCCTATTTCTTCTTTCAGTTCTTAACCATTTTCCCTCTTTTTTTTTTTTTTTAAATTTAGGCTGTGTTGACAGAGGCACTTTTTCTTTTTCTTTAACCCTCACCTGAGGACATGCTTAGAGAAAGAAAGGGAGGGAGGGAGAGAGAGAGAGAGAGAGAGAGAAGGAGAGATGTGAGAGAGAAACATTGATTGCTGCCCTCTGCACGCTCCCCGACTGGGGATTGAACCTGCAACCCTTTCAGTGTGCAGGACGCCGCCCAACCAACCGAGCCACTCCTCTCTGGCTTGCCTCGTATTTTAAAGCTATATTGTTAGGTGCACATTCATTTAGGTTAATTAGATCTTTTTTGGAGAATTGACCTCTTTATCATTATGTAATGTCCCTCTTTATTTTTTATAATATTCCTGGTTCTGAAATTCTCTGATATTAATATAGTTTGTGTTTGTACTGTGTGGCCACTGTAATAAATCACCACAAACTTAGTGGCTTAAAACAACACAAATGTATTCTCCCACAGTTCTGAAGTCAGAAGTCAGTTTTAATAGGCCCAAGTCAAGGTGTTGGCCGGGCCATGACGTCTTAGGAGGCTCTAGGGCAGAATCTGTTTCCTGTCCTTCTCCAGCTTCTAGAGCTGCATTTCTTGGATTTCTTAGCTCATGGTGCTTCCCAATCTTCACAGCCCAGCACCAAGAAAAAAGCGTACTCAGGATTCTCCCTGATCTTCTCTGTGAGCACCCAGTGGAGGTTTTGGAATCAAGAGTTTGCCAAAGGGTGCAAACCCCCTTATATCCATGTCCCAGGGCTCATGCTTGTCCTTTATCAATTCTTAGACACTTGTAAGGTGACCAGGTCGGATTCTGTTTCTCTGGCCAACGCCTATCTCTCTCCAGATTTCAAATTTGTTGCCCTGGGACCTCAGTTCTCTGATGGGGTCTAGAAAAGTCATTCATTTGTGATTAGTTCCCACCTCCATTCTTTTGTTTGCTTGTTTGTTTTAAGGGTGGGAGTGATTCTCTTTGGCTTTCTACACCTCTAAACTAAAATCACTACCAGCTCCCTTTTAATTCTATTTTCTTCCTGCTTCTGGGCACTTTATCTGGCATTCAGTGCTAGAGAGCATAATTATAGGGAAGGATACTATAGTGGGTAAGTGGGAATTTGTCAATTTCTCCTGCTTTTGCTTAGCTTTGCAAATATAAATTATTGCTGTTTCTAGAGTCATCTGTGCCTAATTCACTATCTGTCCTTCAGGCCTGACAGGGTCAGCCAGTGGAGCCTGTGGATGCCCAATTGTGTACTGGCCAGAGCCTGGCCTGGACCCGGCCCACCTCACTCAGGGAATAATTGGTGGTGGCCTTTGTTTCCACAGACATGGCCGTGCAGAACTTCGTGGGCGATGCCTTTCGAGGAGCCACCTGGGTTGCTCTTCACAATGGTGGGGGCGTGGGCTGGTAAGAAAGTTTTGGAGTACAGGGTGGTGGGGGTGCAGGCTCCCATGGAAGGCATGAGGATTTCCTTGAGGGTCCTGGGCCCTGCCTCTCCCAAGCTCCCTCTGCTGAGGGCTTTACTGTGGCATTTTCCTCCTGTGTGTTGGAAGTTGGGGGGGCAGAATGTTGGGGGTGAAGCATGGGGGAGTGTCTTGCACAAACCAGTCCTCCTTTTGGGGTCTTACCTGTCACACAGGATAGGAAGGCTATAAGAACCATGCCTGCCCCTTTTACATCAGTTTCACTTTGCTTTCACAGATATTCCCTCAGGAATTCTCACGGTGCTCTCTTTTCATTCCACCTGAGATTCCCAGGGCAGACAGGCAGGGAGGCAGGAGACCTGGGTTCTCTGTTCTCCTGGGTCCCTGGCTCAGGGCTCTGCCCTGGCCAGTCCTATTTCTAACCTTCACAATTAGGAAATTTGTGTTTCTGGGAGGGTCTCTTACTAGCTGACAGTCACAGTGTTATGGGGGAGATGGGGAGACCTTGGTTCTTGTCTTCTTGAGGGAAAGATTTCAATCAAGAGACAAAGTGGAGAAAAGCAAGCAAGAATTTATTGACCACAGCAAAAATATAAATGAGGATGGTGCATAGAAGAAGCAACAGGAGAGCCTAGGCTGGGCTGTTTTGGCTCCCTGAGAAGTGAGAGAGAAGGGGACCTTGGAGACAGGTTCAGGGGGTAAGCCCCAGGATGAGCTGTCGCTGTCCATTGCTCCCCTGGTTGCAAGTCTTCCTGGGTCCCCTTGGAGGGATGGAGATGGCGCTGGCGGGGGGCGTGCTCCCCTGGGGCAGGGTGGAGAGCAGCTGGGTTCTTTGTCCTGAGCTATTTATCTCTTTCTTGCAGGCTGGAAATCTTTGGGGAGGTCTCAGGGGAGTGTCTCAATAGAATATTCATCAGCATTCCAGCTGTGCTCTTTCAGGGTCGTGGTCCCCACTGATTGGTCGGTGCCAGGGCACTGTCATTAGTCAATGTTGTCTGGTCCTGTGGGAGTCCCTTGTCTCGTTTTGCTTATCAAGGCCCGGAGCTGAAATACAACTGAGGCCTAGATGTTATCTTTAGGGAGGAACACTCAGGGGTCTAAACTGCATGACCAGCAATATGCTAATGGGAGATATATTACCCTGAGGACAAAGTTTTTGTTTTCTCAGTTTCACCCCTTGCTAGGCATCTGGTGCTTCCTGCCCTGATGTGTTCCTGTAGCTGGGTTTCTGTACCTGGCCCATCTAGCACAAACCATTTACTCTCAAGTGTCTTTGGTTTCGGAAAGACAGGATTTACTAGGTGGCGCAAACCGCTGTTTAACAATCTGTCTCAGTTTCCCTATTCCACTTGTCCTAGAATTTTCCTAGCTTTTACTATGCTATATCAACAGCTCTATCATAAAAATGTCCACTACAATTCTATTACCAACATGTATAGGTTTTCTCACACCACCCAACAATTCCCTCCAACACCTACATTTTAACTCAATTCTGACACTACCTACCTTGAGAAAGCCTCAGATCCCAGAAGACTGTTTTCACCTCACTTCAAATAGCAAGCCCAGGTTGTTGCTCCTGATTGAACTGCTAATGATGGAGGTTCTCACAACCCCCTCCTTGAGTTCTATTAATTTGTGAGAGTGGCTCACAAAACTCAGGAAACCCATTTAACTAACTAGATCACCAATTTATTACAAAGAAGATTTAAGGATACAAATCAACAGATGAAAAGATACGTAAGACAAGGTTTCAACAGGAATTTCTGCTCTTATGGAGTGTGGGGCCCCACACAGTGGCACATGGAAGCATTCTGGTCCCCCAACTGGAAGCTGTCTGAACCCCGTCCCTTTTGTTTTTTATGGAAGCTTCATTACATAGGCATGTTTGATGAAATCACTGACCATCAGTGACCAATTCAACCTCTAGCTCCTCCACTTTCCCTGGAGGTCCGGGGTAGGACTGAAAGTTCCAATCCTGTGTTCTGTGGTTGGTTCCCCTGGCAACCAACCTGTATCCTTGGGGAGGGGGGCAGTAGTCACCTCATTAACATAACAAAAGACATCTTTATTATTCTCAACACTTAGGAATTCCAAGGCTTTCAGTGGTTCTGTGCCAGATTAGGGATGAAGACCAAATATACAGGGTGTCCTCCAAAAATGTATATACACACTTTGAATAATTATAAAGGCAGTGTTTATTAAAATATATTTCATTTTCAAAATTGAGCTATCAGCTGTTAGAGTGTATATACATTTTTTGGGGACACCCTATATATTTCTTATTGTAATTGACAGTATCACACCTGCTGCTAAGAATAATGAATAGGTAATGCTTATTGCACGTGGACCCCATGGCAAACATTTTCTAGACTCTTTGAATCCACTCTTTCATCGAATCATAGAAGGAAAGTACATTTTACAGATGAGGAAGCTGAGGCACCAGAGGTTACGATGCTGTAGGAGCTGCACCTGCACAGGGTCTGTCTCTGTGGGGTCACGTGGGGAAGCTCTCAGGACAAGTTGAATTCTTGGCTACCCAGAGCAGCAGGGCGCAGCTTCTGAAAGAAGGACAGCTTCCTGTGCCTGGCCATCTCTGAACTGACTTCTGAGCCCGTTTTGGCCAGATCAAGCCTGGCCTTGCCCTCCAGAGCCAAGTCTTTCAGCACTTGAGCTTCCCAGGGCATTCCGATGGGCCTTTTTGACCCAAATTCCCAGCTGCAGCTCAGTCAAGTGGCTCTAATTAATGGAAAATGTAACTGGAATGCATGTCCTTTCTGATACAAAGGCTAGAGAAAACCAGGAGAAGAGCGCCTGGTTATTGGGTACCTGTCCTTTTGGTGTTGCATTTATTGACAGTGTTCGGGAACATGAAGAGCAACCCTAAAGGGGAAATAACTTGCCCAAGGCCACAGAGCTGGTGGTAGAGCCCGGATCTGGACCCAGATCTGTTGCCTCCCAGGATCCACTCAAAATTGTCAATGGGACAACAGAGGGCAAGAAGGGAAAGAGCAAAGCAGCTGAGAGTCAACAACACGAAGGGCCTCAGGGCAGGGGACAGCTCGGCTACTGCTGCCCCCCCACCACTCGAGCTCGAAGGACAAGGAATGCAAATTCCCAAGTTGCTCCCATCCCTAAGGCTGCCCCCAGACTCTGTGGACAGGGACAGAAGCTGGCAAGATGCTGGCATCAACACCTTATATCCCGGCTGTTCTCCAGGGCTCTTTTGGGAACACCTCAAGTTCATGTTGAGCAGTGTCATGTGTGTCATTTTCTCCTTTCTCTGTTGCCTCTGTCTCCACAGAGCCCGTCCTTCTGGTTATTCACTTGGTATCTGTCCTCGTGTGGTCTGTCCAGCTGCTCTTGCTGTCTGTCTACTCATTTAGAGAGGGCTGGTTGGTTCTCCTGCCCTGTAGGGATGGTGTGGTCAGTTCTGGGAGTGGGGGTGGGAGGGACAGGGCCTCACTGTTGGATGTTGAGACTTCTCCTCAATCTTTTATTCATGTTCACTCTCTCACCTTCTGATGTGCCTTCTGTCCTTACACCCAGATCCGGCCCCAGGGCCCATGTCTTTGAGGAATAAATTGATGTATTCGATCAACCATCTTTATCCAGATACTCACATTTTTTTCCTCTTAAAAGGCATCTCAAACTTGAAAGTGCCCAGGATTCCCCAGGGAGCTTGTTAAATGGAGACCTTGCCTAGGCAGGTCTGGAGGGGGTGAGCTTCAGCATTCTAACCAGCTCCAGTGACGCTGCTTCTGCTGGACCGAGGGCCCTCCGAGTAGCCAGGGCATCAAAGGCTCCCGCCATCCGTGCACGTAGATCTCCCTCACCCCTTCCCACCTCCAGTGCAGCAGGGAGCATCTTTGTATGTACAGTTTTGTTGCATAATGAACAGCATGGATTCTGAAGTCGATTTGTCTGCACAAGTTAAGCTGTTGAGCTTTGCTTCTCATTGACAAAATGGCCATAATAATAGCAACTGCTGTGTCACCTATCGGTGAAAATTAGATGAGTTAATAATAGCGAAGGCTTATATAGTGCATAACATGAGCAAGGTCCTCTAAGAAATTTGTGTGCTAACTCATCTGATTGCTACAGCAGACTCATCTAAGCCATAAGCACTACCCAGCAGAGATAAATAACTTTGCCCAGGTGTCGCAGTGAGCTGGGGTTGTGGGAGGCCTGGCCTGAATGCATGTGCCAATGCACCACAAATGTCTTGTAAAGGTGCCAGAACAGGGCCAGAACGTGATGTCCCTCCTGTAAATGTTAACCTCTGTCATGTGCATGCTATTTGTAATCTCAGGTTCAAAAAAGGTGGACATTTTATTTTATTTTTTATTTTTTTAATATATCTTTATTGATTTCAGAGAGAGGAAAGGAGAGGGGGAGAGAGAGATAGAAACATCAGTGATGAGAGAGTCATTGATTGGCTGCAGCCCTCAACCCGGGCATGTGCCCTGACCGGGAATCGAACCCGGATCGCCTGGATCCTAGGTAGACACTCAACTGCTGAGCCACGCCCGGCCGGGCAAGGTGGACATTTTAAACTTTGATAGCTGCCACCAAATTTCCTGATATACAGATTCCTGTTTGCATAACCTCCTCAGTGCTCACTGGGTGTTAACATGGGATTTACCAGCCTGGGGTGCGAGAAGTAAGAAATTCTTGTTTTGATTTGAATTGCCTACTCTGAGTTTTTGGTTTTGTGTTGTGGGCTTTTTCTTATCGATTTGCAGGCATTCTTCATCTATTCTAGAGATAAGATGGATGTATTGGGTTTGTGTCACTAGTCTTTGAACTTTGTTTAAAGCATCTGTGCAGTCTGGGTTCCCCAGGAGGCAGGTGCTGAGGTCGGGTTGGGCGTGTACAGAAGGGTTATTGGGGAAGACCACCTGGGAAAGGAAGGGTAGGGGGAGGTACAGAGGAGGCAGAGTGATGGGTCAGTGCAGCCCTCAGTTTCCATGCAGACCTAGCAGCCTTGCTGCTGGCAGGGAGCCCTGGAGCCCAGGGAGCCATTGTAGGAGCCGCGTCAGGCAGAAACAGGCAGGCCCCATGCCATGGTATCGCTCAGCCTCTGCCCCAAGTAGGACCCTAAGGAGTTACTGTCGGGGACTGAGAATGAACCACCCTCCCCACACCTGGGCTTTTTGGAACGGGTACCTGGGCAGGCCCCCTCTCCTCACAGGGGAGTTTTACATCTCTCTCCAGTGGCTTTTCTGTTCTGACTTTCCATTATTTTAAATGTTGCTTTCAAAAACCTCTCCCTTTCCGGACTTAAAAACAAAACAAAAAAACAGTGTCCTAAACTTCCTTTATTCACCTTATAATTTTAAATATTTCCTTCTTTAGTATATCTGGATTTTGTTTTTCTTTATGTGTGATATTGGGTTCTACTTTTGTTTTTCTCAAAGGGCTAGTTGTCCCAACACTGTGAGTTTATCCAAATACTGCACTGAGAACAATGCTGCCTTTAGCACCCATTTTCCTGGGCTCAGCATGCTCAGGGCTCCTCCATGGGGGTGCAAGGTTTGCAGAGGACACCTGAGCTGAGCATCTTTGGTCTCTGACCATCTGGGCTTCTGGATCCCCAAATGAAAGGTGTAGTCCTAATCTCAAAAAGACCTCTTCGGTTGAAGGACACATGGGAGTCCTTCTTTGGTGACTTTTGCTGCCTTCTGCTTTCTTCTCTAACAATCAGCCTCTGACCGGTGAATGAATGGTCATGACCTTAAATCTAGTCGGAGCATCCCACCTTAAAGGCTGGCGAGAGACATGCTGGGAGCCTGCTCGCAGGCATAGGGCTGGCCAGGTATGGGCTGGCATCAACACCAGGCTAGCCAGGCAGGGGCAGCTTTTGTGCCCAGAGTGTGAGCACAGGTGGCTCCTGGGGCAGAGGGCTCTTTGCCTTCCTGGTGGGAACTGACTGAGGTTATCAGTAGGGTGCAGGCTGGGCAGAGAAGCAGCTAAGGCCCGACAATCTTGAGGGATCTGAGGCTAGAGAAACTAGGTGTGCCTTCCAGGCGTGGGAAGGAGAAGAGCAAATTCACTGGCGCTGGGTACTGAAAGGCCGTGTGCTGTGGTTGCCAGCGTCTGTGTTTGGCAGGAGAGCCCTGGAAGGTACTGACAAGACCCAGGGCATTTCCTGTGTGTGTCATTGAAGGGGACATGTGAAGTGCATAGTGATTCGAGCTGAGCAGGAACTTCGGCTGGGTCCAGCAGCCTTTGATAATGACATTGAAGGTGAGAACAAAAGTGTAGGGGTGCCAGGAAGGAGAGGGTCCTCACGGCTGAGGGAGGAAAACCGCGGGCAAGTGTGTGGACAGTGGAATAGCACTAACACACTCAAGTAGGTTCGAGTGACATCTGTTAAGAAACAGCACAGAACATATCACACCTGTGAGAGAAGGCAGTCAAAATAGAACAGAGAAATGTGTTAATTAGGAAACAAATGCTGAAAAGAAAGGAACTCAGTTTTCAAGTCAAGTAATCAGGACCCCAAAATACACCTAAAGCAAGTAGAAAGAAGAGATAAAGAAGACAAAGAGCATAAAGAGAAAATTGGGAAGAGTGACAATTGAATTGAGTGATACAAGAGAGCCCCAAGGAAGCGCTCAGAACCACAGAAGGAGGTCATGTCATGCTCAGGAGGTCAGGCTGCAAGCAAGATGTGACACACGAGTGGATCCTGAAGGTGGACTCAGGGTCCATGGGGTAAAAGCACAGAGGCATGAGTGGACAGCATAGACCTGTGAGGCTTCTGCATCTGTAGGCTATCAAGAGGGCACAGGACCCAGAAGTGACCTGGAAACTCTTTTGCCTCTTGCCAGGGGTGAGGTGATGAATGGTGGGTTCGGCCTCGTGCTTGATGGGACCCAGGAGGCTGAGCAGAAGGCCAAGATGATGCTCAGTTGGGACGTCTCCAATGGAGTAAGTCACCCCTAGTCTCTCCCCTGCCTTCTCTCTCCATTGGTGACTTTGTCCCCTCCAACTGCAGACTTGAGATGGAGTTCTGCCCCTTTTACCAAAATGGTCAGGAGCTCATCCTGCCATTCCTGCTCATTTGTGTCTCTCCTTGTCAGCTGCCTGCATCTCTCTCGGGCTGTTTCCAGAGGTTCCTTTGCATCTCCCCACCTCTGAGCTTACCCTCCAGCCCAGCCTCTGTCCACACAGGGGGCCCCTAGCATCCGACCCTGCCCTCCCAGTGAGAGCACCCCCAATGCTGGTAGGAGAGGCCTCCTTTTAAAGCCTCATCTTTCCACCATCTCTGAGGCTGGTCAGAGAGTGCAGGATCTATGCTAGAACAGCCTCTGGCTGTGCAGCTATGATTAGCTTTGCTGTGATCCAGGGTGGCCTCTCTGTGTGTGTGTGTGTGTGGCAGGGGCTCCTTCCTCTTTTGGACCACATCACAGGCAGCCTGAAAGGGGGAACACATGGGAAGTCAGGTGGTAATGAGGAAGGGTGTGTGCGGCTGTGATCGAAAGAGGGAGCTGAGCACAAGAGCCCAGAGAATTGGGTGGTCCAGAGAGTAAATGTGAGAGTGGAGGTGAAGGGTTTCTTGGAGGGGCCAACTCTCTGGGATCCCCCAGCAGAGGAAAGTCTTCATCCTGAAGGCAGTGAAGCAGTGAGAGGATGGACTGGGGGAGGCATGGGAGGGCCAGGAGGTGTGGGTCGGCAAGAATGACAGCAGGGAGGCGGGCGAGGTGCCATTATAGTCACCCTGGGAGCCCTGATGATGGAGATGGGAAGGCAGTGGATGGAGACGGTTTAAGGCTGATCCAAGGTGGGTGTCCTTTCTATGAGGCCAGGGAGGAGGGGTGCTGAGGATGACTCCTGAGTGCCTGGCCTGCGCCCCTGCGTGGAGCGGGGAGGCTAGGTGGAAGGAAAGCTGGTTTTAGATCAGAGAGGCAGGTAAGTAGTAATCCGGCCAAGAGAGGAGGAGGTCTGAGTCTCGGGTGGGGCCAGGACAGACTGACCCCACCCATAGCACAGAGCGTCCCCCGGGGGGTTTGAGCCCAGGCCCAGTGTGTCCAGAATGCCTTGTTGGGAACCTGGTGATGTTGGCACCAGCTACAGCACAGCCCTCTCTGCACACCATTGACAGGTGGCCCGCCGCTGTTGGTCCGGGAACCAGAAGGCCTATGAGATCATCTGCCAGACGATGCAGGAGAACAAGGGCTTGGTGGTGACACTGCCACACAAGGTGGCAGACGAGCACATGCTCCAGCAGGCCTTGCGGCCATGAGTCCAAGTCTGAGAGCCTGCGATGGTCCCCACGTCCCCCTTGGTCCCTGTCCTCACCCTCACAGCCCCACCACGCCTTCCCCTGCACGCCTCCCTCTCCTAGGTCAGCAGCTCCACACCCTCATTTGGCCTCACAGCACCCTACAGGGTGGGCTGTTGCCGTCCCCATTCCACAGATGAGCCAGCTGAAGCCCAGGGAGGTGGAGCCATTTCTCCATGACCGTGTTGCTCCCCTGGGAACCTGGGAGGGCAGTGCAGGTCTTGTTTGGGGCTACATCCTCAAGCTTGCTATGGAGTAGACTCCAGGAGCTTTGGAGGTTGGCTTGTGTGAATACTGGCTGAGCTGGGCATCAACAAAATCAAATAATGGCATGGAAGTTAAGTTTAAAGTGAAAGGACCCCTTTTCCATCCCATTTCATAAGTAGTCACAAGTAGTGACTAGCAGTGTATTGCGTATCTTTGTAGAAACTTTCTAAGGATATGCAAGCACATGAACATATGTAGTTTTCCCTCCTACATAAACAGATCCTCCTAAGGAATGTTTTACATTGATTTTCCTAACAATGTATTTTTAGTGGAGACATACAGAACATAAAAATCCCCATTTTAAAGTCTGTGTTGTGTGTACTCATTGTGTTCTGTACTATCATCACTAATTCCAGGACATTTCCACTATCAAAAAGAAACCCTGCAGCTATTAGCAGTCAGTCCTAATTCTCCCTCTCCCCCACCCCCTGGCAACCACTATTTTCTGCCTTTATGGATTTACCTATTCTGGACATTTAAGATGAATTGAATCATACCGTGTGTGTGGTCTTTTGTGCCTGGCTTATTTACCTTAGCATGGTTTTTTTTGTGTGTTTTTTTTTAAGTTTTATTCTTGTTTAAAGTATTACAGATGTCCCTTTTTCTCCCCAATGACCCGTTCCACCCCGTTCCTTCCCCCTCCCCAGTCCCTCTCCCCACCATTGTCCATGTCCTTGGGTTATGCATATATGCACATAAATTCTTTGGTTACTCTCTCCCCCTCCACCCACCCACCCTCCTCCATCCCTCTGACATTCATCAGCCTCATCTATGCTTCCATGTCATTGAATCTATTCTGTTCATCAATTTATTAAGTTCTTTAGATTCCACATTCCCTTAGCATGTTTTAAAGTTCATCCATGTTGTAGCAGACATCTGTATTTCATTCCTTTTTATGGCTGACTAATATTCCATTGTGTGGACAGACAACGTTGTGTTTACCCGTTCATCTGTTAATGGATACTTGGTTGTTTCCATTTTTTATTGTGTAGCATTATGAATAATGCTGCTGTAAACACATTCACATACAAGTTTTTGTGTGAATGTATTTTCATGTCTCTTGGGTGTATGTGTAGGAGGAGTAGAATTGTTGGGTCATGTGGAAATTTTATACTTAACTTTTGGAGGAGCTGTCAAGCTTTTTTCCACAGTGGTTTCACCATTTTAAATTCCCACTAAAAATGTATGAGGATTCTAATTTATCCATATCCTCACCAACACATTCTTTGCATTTAAAAAATTTATAGCTATCTTACTGAGTGTGAAGTGGTCTCTCTCGTAGTTTTGATTTGCATTTTTCTAATGGCCAATGATGTTGAGACTCTTTTCATGTGCTTATTGACCATTTGTATTTTTCACTTGGAGAAATGTCTATTCAAATTCTCTGTCTATTTCTAAACTGGGTTGTCTTTTTGTTGAGTTGTAGTTTTAAAAATATATTCTGGATAGTAGATTTTCAAATTTCTTTCCCATTGTGAGGGTTGTCTTTTCACTTCCTTGTTGGTATTCTTTGACCCAAAAGAGTTTTTAATTTCAATGAAGCCTAATTTGTTTCTTTCATTGTTTGTACTTTTGGTTTCATATCTAAGAAACCATTGCCTGATCCAAGATCACACAGATTTACACTTATGTTTTTTTCTAATAATTTTTGCTTTTACATTGAGGTCTTTGATCCATTTTGAATTACTTTTTGTGTATGGTGTGAGGTAGGAGGTCCAAATTCTTTTTTTTTTTTTTTTAACATGTGGATATCCAGTTGTCCCAGTAGCATTTGTTGAAAAGATTTCTTTCCTCCTCTGAATGGTCTTGGAACAATATATTTTTGGCATAAACATACATATACATATAAAGATGTTTCCTATTATTTTCAATATTATTGATGTACATTATTTTTTGAAGCACTTTTCATAGTAAACCATTCATCTGTTCAATATGTATTTACTGAGAGTCTTTGCTGCTACCCTCTGGGCATACAGATCTGAAAGGAACTGACACAGTTCCTGTCCTCAAGGCGTCTACATTCTAGAGGAGACACAGACAATGAATTATCAGGGAAAGAGACAGAACAACAACAACAAAAACCCAAAGCACCACAATGCAACTAAGAGCTATAAGGAGAAACAAAGGGGGAGGTGAAGAATAAGGGTCTGAGTGAGGGTGTACTTTGAATCAGAAGGCCAGCTAAGACTTCCCAGAAGAATCGGAGACCAGCTGTGCAAAGCCTCTGAGGCTGGACCGAGCTTGGCCTGTTGGGGCAGTGATATTGTGATATTGTAGAGTGAGGGCTAACGCGTGAGAAATGAAGGCAAAGAGGTGTGTATGG